AGCTAGGTGCTGTATTACCTTGGTACAGAGAAGGGTGGTAGCTAGGTTCTGTATTACCTTGGTACAGAGAAGGGTGGTAGCTAGGTGCTGTATTACCTTGGTACAGAGAAGGGTGGTAGCTAGGTTCTGTATTACCTTGGTACAGAGAAGGGTGGTAGCTAGGTTCTGTATTACCTTGGTACAGAGAAGGGTGGTAGCTAGGTTCTGTATTACCTTGGTACAGAGAAGGGTGGTAGCTAGGTTCTGTATTACCTTGGTACAGAGAAGGGTGGTAGCTAGGTCCTGTATTACCTTGGTACAGAGAAGGTTGGTAGCTAGGTCCTGTATTACCTTGGTACAGAGAAAGGTGGTAGCTAGGTGCTGTATTACCTTGGTACAGAGAAGGGTGGTAGCTAGGTGCTGTATTACCTTGGTACAGAGAAGGGTGGTAGCTAGGTTATGTATTACCTTGGTACAGAGAAGGGTGGTAGCTAGGTTATGTATTACCTTGGTACAGAGAAAGGTGGTAGCTAGGTTCTGTATTAACTTGGCACTGAGAAAGGTGGTAGCTAGGTGCTGTATTACCTTGGTACAGAGAAGGTTGGTAGCTAGGTTATGTATTACCTTGGTACAGAGAAGGGTGGTAGCTAGGTTATGTATTACCTTGGTACAGAGAAGGGTGGTAGCTAGGTTCTGTATTACCTTGGTACAGAGAAGGGTGGTAGCTAGGTTCTGTATTACCTTGGTACAGAGAAGGGTGGTAGCTAGGTTATGTATTACCTTGGTACAGAGAAGGGTGGTAGCTAGGTTATGTATTACCTTGGTACAGAGAAGGGTGGTAGCTAGGTTCTGTATTACCTTGGTACAGAGAAGGGTGGTAGCTAGGTTCTGTATTACCTTGGTACAGAGAAGGGTGGTAGCTAGGTTCTGTATTACCTTGGTACAGAGAAGGGTGGTAGCTAGGTTCTGTATTACCTTGGTACAGAGAAGGGTGGTAGCTAGGTTCTGTATTACCTTGGTACAGAGAAAGGTGGTAGCTAGGTTCTGTATTACCTTGGTACAGAGAAAGGTGGTAGCTAGGTCTGTATTACCTTGGTACAGAGAAGGGTGGTAGCTAGGTCTGTATTACCTTGGTACAGAGAAGGTGGTAGCTAGGTGCTGTATTACCTTGGTACAGAGAAGGGTGGTAGCTAGGTTCTGTATTACCTTGGTACAGAGAAGGGTGGTAGCTAGGTTCTGTATTACCTTGGTACAGAGAAGGGTGGTAGCTAGGTTCTGTATTACCTTGGTACAGAGAAGGTGGTAGCTAGGTTCTGTATTACCTTGGTACAGAGAAGGGTGGTAGCTAGGTTCTGTATTACCTTGGTACAGAGAAGGTGGTAGCTAGGTTCTGTATTACCTTGGTACAGAGAAGGGTGGTAGCTAGGTTCTGTATTACCTTGGTACAGAGAAGGGTGGTAGCTAGGTTCTGTATTACCTTGGTACAGAGAAGGTGGTAGCTAGGTTCTGTATTACCTTGGTACAGAGAAAGTGGTAGCTAGGTTCTGTATTACCTTGGTACAGAGAAAGGTGGTAGCTAGGTCCTGTATTACCTTGGTACAGAGAAGGTGGTAGCTAGGTTCTGTATTACCTTGGTACAGAGAAGGGTGGTAGCTAGGTTCTGTATTACCTTGGTACAGAGAAGGGTGATAGCTAGGTTCTGTATTACCTTGGTACAGAGAAGGGTGGTAGCTAGGTTCTGTATTACCTTGGTACAGAGAAAGGTGGTAGCTAGGTTCTGTATTACCTTGGTACAGAGAAAGGTGGTAGCTAGGTGCTGTATTACCTTGGTACAGAGAAGGGTGGTAGCTAGGTGCTGTATTACCTTGGTACAGAGAAGGGTGGTAGCTAGGTTCTGTATTACCTTGGTACAGAGAAAGGTGGTAGCTAGGTCCTGTATTACCTTGTTACAGAGAAGGGTGGTAGCTAGGTTATGTATTACCTTGGTACAGAGAAGGGTGGTAGCTAGGTGCTGTATTACCTTGGTACAGAGAAGGGTGGTAGCTAGGTTATGTATTACCTTGGTACAGAGAAAGGTGGTAGCTAGGTCCTGTATTACCTTGGTACAGAGAAGGGTGGTAGCTAGGTTCTGTATTACCTTGGTACAGAGAAGGGTGGTAGCTAGGTTCTGTATTACCTTGTTACAGAGAAAGGTGGTAGCTAGGTTATGTATTACCTTGTTACAGAGAAAGGTGGTAGCTAGGTGCTGTATTACCTTGGTACAGAGAAGGGTGGTAGCTAGGTTCTGTATTACCTTGGTACAGAGAAAGGTGGTAGCTAGGTTCTGTATTACCTTGTTACAGAGAAGGGTGATAGCTAGGTCCTGTATTACCTTGGTACAGAGAAAGGTGGTAGCTAGGTTCTGTATTACCTTGGTACAGAGAAGGGTGGTAGCTAGGTTCTGTATTACCTTGGTACAGAGAAGGGTGGTAGCTAGGTCCTGTATTACCTTGGTACAGAGAAAGTGGTAGCTAGGTCTGTATTACCTTGGTACAGAGAAAGGTGGTAGCTAGGTTCTGTATTACCTTGGTACAGAGAAGGTGGTAGCTAGGTCCTGTATTACCTTGGTACAGAGAAGGTGGTAGCTAGGTTCTGTATTACCTTGGTACAGAGAAGGGTGGTAGCTAGGTCCTGTATTACCTTGGTACAGAGAAAGTGGTAGCTAGGTTCTGTATTACCTTGGTACAGAGAAAGTGGTAGCTAGGTCTGTATTACCTTGGTACAGAGAAAGTGGTAGCTAGGTTCTGTATTACCTTGGTACAGAGAAGGGTGGTAGCTAGGTTCTGTATTACCTTGGTACAGAGAAGGTTGGTAGCTAGGTCCTGTATTACCTTGGTACAGAGAAGGGTGGTAGCTAGGTTCTGTATTACCTTGGTACAGAGAAGGGTGGTAGCTAGGTTCTGTATTACCTTGGTACAGAGAAGGGTGGTAGCTAGGTCTGTATTACCTTGGTACAGAGAAAGGTGGTAGCTAGGTCTGTATTACCTTGGTACAGAGAAGGTGGTAGCTAGGTCCTGTATTACCTTGGTACAGAGAAGGTGGTAGCTAGGTCTGTATTACCTTGGTACAGAGAAGGGTGGTAGCTAGGTCTGTATTACCTTGGTACAGAGAAGGTGGTAGCTAGGTCCTGTATTACCTTGGTACAGAGAAAGGTGGTAGCTAGGTTCTGTATTACCTTGGTACAGAGAAAGTGGTAGCTAGGTTCTGTATTACCTTGGTACAGAGAAAGTGGTAGCTAGGTTCTGTATTACCTTGGTACAGAGAAGGGTGGTAGCTAGGTTCTGTATTACCTTGGTACAGAGAAGGTGGTAGCTAGGTTCTGTATTACCTTGGTACAGAGAAGGGTGGTAGCTAGGTTCTGTATTACTTGGTACAGAAAAGGGGGTGGTAGTGGGGCCTGTTTCCCTTGGTACAGAGAAGGTTGGTGTAGGCCCTGTATTACCTGGTACAGAAAAAGGGGGTAGCTAGGTTCTGTATTACCTTGTTACAGAGAAGGTTGGTAGCTGGGTCCGTTTTACCTTGGTACAGAAAAAGGGGGGTATAGCTGGGTTCTGATCCCTTGGTACAGAAAAAGTGGTAGCTAGGTTTTGTATTATTGCATAAGAAGGGGGGTAGCTAGGTTCTGTTTCCCCTTTGGTACAAGAAAGGGGTAGCTAGGGCTGTATTCCCTTGTTACAGAAAAGGGTTTGGGTTTAAAGCTGGGTCTGTATAACCTGGTACAAGGGAAGGGTGGTTAGCTAGGTTCGTATTACCGGGGTACGGGAAAAGGGGTGGTAGCTAGGTGCTGTATTACCTTGGTGCAGAAAAAAGGTGGTAGCTAGGTTTTTGCCACCCCCCAGAAATAGTCGTTTAAATTGCTTCCACCTGGTGCCGGTCAGGTCTTACTTTAAAGAGTGGGTCTGGTGTGCTTGTTCCCGTGGTGGTATCTACTGTGTGATAACAGGGCTGGTGTACTGATGTGCGGTTGAATAGGGAATGCTGGCCGATATTAGGGCCGTAGAACTGTATGTCTAACATCCAGGAGCCCTTTAGGAAGTAGCAACAGTCTTTGATCCGGGCTATCTGTAAATTAAGTTATTTTAAAGTCTTTATTTAGAGTATTTATCGTTCACAGAATGCTATTAATTGAAGGTTGTGAGATCTACGAAATTTGATGAAATTAAAGTAAGAAATCAACATTATATGTTTGAAAGGGGAATCAGGTTTTAAATTTACCGATTCGTAGCCATAAGCTATCGGCCATTTATCTTCAGCTCGTAGCATTTTGAAATGTTTCTTTCTACCCAAGATAGCTTCAAGATGCTGTCGAAGCTTGATAACCGTAAAGTTCTCAAGAATAACCATTTCTGAATCATCAAATTAGAAAGGTTGTAAATTATTGTTGTCATTGCCTCAGCGAAACCCAACGGGAAACGATTCTTAGGAAACGGCTGAAACAGCAGAAAAATATAATCTACAACTATAAAGCTATAAATAATATAATACTGAAGGGTAAAATATTGAGTTTGATAGTGACCTGCTAAAAGTTGTAAAATATAATCTACAACTATTATACTGAAGGGTCAAATATTGAGTTTGATAGTGACCTGCTAAAAGTTGTCGTGCAGTGTACTCAAATACCCTCACCTCCGCTGGCCAGGATATCATTTCACCTTGAACTGAAGTGGGAGTTGAAGATATGGAAACGCTGCACCCATTCTCGTCTTTATCTTCAAGTAGTGACCAAACACTACTCCCGCTCTGAGAAAGATAGTTTGAGGTATTTATGGTGGTTTGGTGGACCACTGAACAAAGAAACGGATAAGAATCCGGAATCTTCAGTTTTACTGTCTTCCATCACAAACTAAAGCAGTTTGAGAAAAACACTCATCTGAAAGAAATGATTATTGGTACCTGGATTTGTTTAAAACATATAATAAGTGATCTTCAGCTAAGGATGTTATTGGTATCAAAACAACAAATTACTTGGAGCAGCGTAATATCTTCATCTGAAACTTGTGAGGAACTTGTGGAGTAGGTTAGAGTTGGTTTTCTGGAGTAAGTCAGAGTTTTTATCATTTCCCTGAACCTCCCCATCCCTCCTCATGATTATATAACAAACTATTTGTAAACTTTCAAAACAAACAAACAAGCAACCTGTAGAAAAGCACCTCAAATTACCATGGAGCACACACTATCTCTGAAAGCTTTGTCAGTAAATCTTACATTAAACTAGTTTACACAGAGAGAACTCAAGATTCACACAAAGGCACTCAATACTTAGCAAAGTAAGAAACTTCTTAAAATGGTAACAAGCACGTTTTATTGAAGGTGTGATGGGGTCCGATTATCCCAAGTAATTGCTCTTTATTTTATTTAAAATTATCTTATAGCGGTTTAATTCATGATAAAAAGGTTCAATAATTAACTAACAAAAATTAAAATCAACTTTAAAAGTTCCTCGTATTTTTATCTAATGGTATTTTATGGTTCCATGTATCTGCAAAGTGCTGAATAAAATATGACTTCATTCATTTATCTATATTGTACTTTATTTATAACTTATATTAATTGTATTTATATAGGGGACTGAGGGTTGGTATTGTTTTGTACATATTATCATGAAACGGATCGTTTGTCCGCCATTTTGATTGATTCAATTTGTTCGAATCATAAGTTATATTACATATTTATAACTTATATTATAACTTATATTATTATTATAACTTATATTATTATTATAACTTATATTATTATTATAACTTAACCAATATACCACAATAGGTCATGTCATGCTGTAGCCACGAGGCTCACCAACACGAAGATCCAGAACGAGGGAGGGAGTACAGCTTGTACACAAAAATAGATTTCCAGACTTTGGACTGTCTCAATGAAACTGTAGAGGGGGCAGGAGCAAGCGTTTTTAAACCCTGGGATTTGAGGAAGGATAAATCAAAGGTTTGTAGCGCGAGATGTTTTGGGTAGTTTCTATGAGGTTGTTGTAGGCTCACGTCCAAAGGTCTTATCGGGAACAAAATTAATTACATACATGTTACATACATGTAGATTGTAGAGAGTGACTTGGATATTTTCAGCTTGTAGAGAGTGATTTGGATGAGGAGTTACTGTTCAACTTCTCTTTTACTGGAAGTGTCAAATTAAAACTTTAAAGGGATTATAGTTATAGGTGGCGGTGGCGAGAGTGACCCTTCTCATCTCAAAGTGTGAGTTTACACTTTCTCCCAACATTCACTTTTTACATCAATGAAACTTCGAGATTAGCAAAATAATCTAAAAAACAACGTAGAATTGCCACACCGAACTGTATCGCGTTGTGTCACGTGTATATCATGTGTATACAATGTGTATATCATGTGTATGTCACATGTATATCATGTGTATAAGTGTATATCATGTGTATATCATGTGTATACTTCGTGTATGTCATACTGGAATGCACGTGTAGGTTTAAGAACGCAGTACCGGTTAGTTTTGATGACGCTGGTAGACACGCTGAACGGGAGTTTGATTTACAGCACGACAAGGACGGTGTAGTGGAGTACCAGACCAAGTAATTATGTGATTAATTATGTAATTATGTGATTTATTATTTACTGTTTACTGTTTAACACATGATGTGAAGATGTACATTACCTATTATTTGATTGATACTGTAACAGTGTTAATTGTAATGATTACACTCAATCTTGAGACCAGTTTCAGTGTCACAACATTATTTTATTTCTGTCTCTACTTAAACAAGTTTTTGCCGGACCGTTTTTAACAAAATTATTCGTAAGGGTAGCAAGATTCAACAACTGTGACAGTTTGTCACTCTATTTTGACAAGAACTTTGGAGCAGATGAAACTAAAATCTGTCACATCGGGCTGCGAGGTGACTTTTCGGAGGTAAATATGCTGATTAGTTGCTTGATAATTGATATATTTTATTCATCTATCTCCTAAAATTCTAAACTTTTTACTGTGATGTACTTTTTCTATGATTGTAAAATCCACTTCTCTAGTAATTCATTGCTTATATTCACTGTCAATAAGTCAATACCCCGGCAGGCTCAGAAACGTGGCGTTGTGATATGTACCTACGAATCGTCCGCACAGCTCAAAGACCACAAAACTCCGGGGGCGTCAGACTATTCCGCTCATGGGGTTTCTTAGAATTACAGTTTAGTGGCTAATTAGGAGTTAATTAGTGGCTAATTAGTAGTTAATTAAGAGTTATTGTTTTCCTTCCGTATAGAGACAGGTTGTGAGGTTGTTCGGATTCTTGCCTTGAAATTTTAAATTGCGATGAATTGTATGAAAATTTGGTGTATTTCATTAAAATATGTTTATTTGAGTATTGATATTTTGTATGTACGTAATGTTTAATTGTTTCAATTTACTTTTTAGCGTAAATACTAAACAATCAGGGAAAAAAACGCTTTAGACCTTCACCATATTATTATGTACAGACACTATTTTATTCGTCAAATGAAAATAAATCATAATATTATACAGTACAATAGTTAACAATAATAACAATTATTTTCCTCCAGATGGCAACAGCAAGGTTTAAAACCCACTCACCCTACTCCACCCCCACTACAACCACACCACGTGACAGCATCACACCACGTGACAGCATCACACCACGTGACAGCATCACACCACGTGACAGCATCACACCACGTGACAGCATCACACCACGTGACAGCATCACACCACGTGACAGCATCACACCACGTGACAGCACCACACCACGTGACAGCATCACACCACGTGACAGCACCACACCACGTGACAGCATCACACCACGTGACAGCATCGCACCACGTGACAGCATCACACCACGTGACAGCATTGCACCACTAGCAGTAGCTCTCATTGGTCTAGGTCGTATCGGTGTCATGTACCTGTCCAACATCAGAGCTAACACACAGTTGAGGCTTTGCTGCGTGGTGCTGTCTCCCCGGCAGGACCCTGGTGATATTCGCGCGCAGCATAGGATACCAGCCCACGTGACAGTGTCATGTGATCCACAGAGCGCGTTCTCTGATCCGGGTATTGAGGCTGTTATCATAGCGTCCTCCACTGCTACCCATGAAGATCTCATATTATCAGCTGTAGTTGCTAATAAGGCGGTGTATTGTGAGAAGCCTATATCAGATAGTCTAGAGAGAACAGGACAATGTTACCAGGCAGCAGCTCAGGCTGACCTACCTTTATTCTGTGCTTTCAACAGGAGATTTGATCTGAGTTACTCGCACATCCAGTCTCAAGTAAGGGCCGGTGCTATTGGTAAAGTTCAGACTATAAAGTCAGTCAGCAGAGACTCTCCAGTCATTCCCCTGTCTTATATCGAACCCTTCCTGTACAAGTGTTTGTGGCTGGAAACGCTCAAATACCTGAGTTCTCCGACTACAAGGACTACGACAACATGATAATCCTCCTGACCTTCAAGCACGGTACTCTGGGTACGATAGACCTGAGCAGGTACGATCAGAGGCTGGAAGTGTTTGGACCTCTTGGTATGTTGCACTGTGAACATTCCAGACCCAACCACCTGGTGACAAGTGACCCATCAGGTTCCACCAGCACTCCGTTACATTACTCCTTCCCATCTCATTACTACCAAGCGTTTAAGAACCAGCTGGGTTATTTTGTAGACTTGGTAAGGGGTAAGGTGGAGTTGTCAGTGACAGATAGAATGACCAGGCCTGTGAGCAAGGTATAAGTCGAGGCTTGTAAGGAGTCTGCGGTTAGTGGGTTACCGGTTAAGATAGCCTGGTCCGAGGAGGAAATCCCAGAATATTGAAAACTTAAAAAGGACATTTTTCATCGCTTTATTTTGCATGATATATGAGCTTGAGAGGGAATCTCTAATCTGAAAGAAAATTTCACGAATTTGATTTCATATTTTGCATCTTTTTTGTCACTAAGACTAAAACTTTTTACCATTTTGTTTACGACTTTTTAATTTTATCGTAGTTTTCTGGATGGATATAGATTATAATTCTTTAATCTCTAAGATAAATAAAATTTGACGATATGTATTGTATTCCGTTTTGTTATAAGAATTATTTCCGTCAATTATGATAATAATCTCTCTGTCTAGGCATGTCTTATCAAGAAAGTTCAACCTTGACTGAAATAAAAATTACCATCAACATTTATTTTCATTTCGTTATGAATTAAGTCAAATTATGTACAAACATTAGTTGTTAAATGACAAACTAACTTTAGCCAGGAATCAAGAAATGTCACAATGGATTGCGATGGTTGCACTTAAATATTAAGTATTGTTATAATATACAAAAATGAACGAATTGAAGACCAGAGTTGAATTTCAAAGTTTTATTTTTAAAACTTTTAAAAATTGTAAACAATTAACTTACTCTCCGTATCTTACATTTTTGATAAACTAGGTCCATTTTTGCCCACATTTTTGGTTGAATAAATTATTAAGTTTGCTCACCATGTTTTTAAGATTTATTAATTAATTAATTTCCTTTATTTTTGAGCAATTATGCTAACGCTATTAACTGTCGATCTTCGATTTGTGAAAGTTTCGTTTTACTACTCGAACATGATATTTAACCCAATTATTTTTATTTCAACTGCTTGTAAAATGCAGAAGATGGTAAATATCCCTGGTTATAATCCCATGGTATGTAATATGGGACATCAGAATTAGGATAGCTTCCATCGACTGAAGGAAGCTGGCATTGCAATGGTCTCTGTTCCTTTAAGTAGTCAGTAACATCATAGACCATATCCGTCACAATATCGGGATTACCCGACGATATATCGTCAGCTTCATTTGGATCAGCAGTTATATTGAAGAGTTGAACGACATCAAAATCAATTGAATCGATGTTAAGGGGATAAAACTTAGTGCTTGAGCAACTGTTAGTACTGTCCTGATCTCCTAGCAGTAATTTGAAATCATTCTTATAGTACCCAGCAACTCTTTTAACCGGATCAATGTGAAGCATTATTTGTGTCCGGGGACATGTTCCACTGCTGTCGTGCAGTAAGTAGTAAGACTGATCTATACTGTCCAAATCAGATGGCATCTTATTTCCTGTCGCTGTTTCATATTTACCCCAGCCACCAGACAACGAAACAATTGTTTGGAACCAGTCAGAGACATGAAAATAGCAATCAGTCGATGTACCCCGAACTGTATCTGAAAGAAGAGATTCATTTGGACTATACACAAAAGAGGGTGTCCTCACGCCACCTTCCCACAATGTTCCTTTGTATCCTTTCAGTGGGCCGTTAGAATGATAACTCGACCTTGGGCCCCCGTTATCAGAGCCATACAGCAGTATTGTGTCCTCCCACAACCCTGCATCTTTAAAATAAGTTATGACATTGCCGATGTAATCCTCTGCTGAGTCCAGCATAGCCTGCATGGTACATCGCTTATCGTCCGAGCAGGTGTAGAATTTGTCAGGTGCATAGTACGGTGAGTGTACAGACTGCATCGGCAAGTAAAGGAATAATGGAGTTTCCGCTTTGTGATTGGCTATGATTTTCTTCACCCTATTCTTGTACAGAAAATTGCTGTAAATGCCTTTATATTTAGTTAAAACATCCCAAGTGAGCCCTTGTTCAGGGGAGGTTGCACACTGATAAAAATCATAATATCCACCCACTTTATGAGTAATCCATCCAGTTGATCCGCTCACGTACCCGTAGGCAGAGTCAAAACCTCTCATACAAGGCATGCACGACCACCGAGCGTAGCCTAAGTGCCATTTTCCAACCAAATGGGTTGCATATCCATTGTGCCTCACCACTTCAGGCATGAGGATCTCTCTTTCATTCAAGCACTCTTCAGTGTTATCGCTGAATACATCATGTTGTATACCAAGTTCAATAGGATACCGACCTGACATAATACTGGCCCGTGTAGGAGTGCATAGCCAGGATGTGTAGTGGCGATTAAGCTTCCGACCTTGAGCAGCTAGTTTATCCAGAAGAGGGCTGTGGACGTCATTAGTGGGATATGTGTATCCTATGTCTCCGTACCCTTGATCATCCATCAGTATGAACAGGATGTGTGGACGTTTTGCGATACATGATGATATTAGTGCCAAACTTATCAACCATCTCAACATAGTATCAACACTAACAGAGAACAGTTGATAAAGTCAGCATGAAATATGTGTATTGTGAAAGATTGCTACAGACAAAACAAAACGTTCTAACTAAAGTAAGTTATGACATGATTGTGTGGGCGCTATTGTTGTTAGAGCAGTTGTTATGTGTACTACATTTCTGACAAAGACAGAAGTGTAAAGTTAAACATGTAAACATAATTCATGCCTAGTGTGAGCTGGTCACTCATCACCAATTTCGAATTGTCCATTTTCACTGTGGCAATGTTTAATGTGGCAAGTTTCCATAACTAATTTTTTGTGATCAGCGGTAATAACCGCTTTTTTTACGCTAAAAAAGCGCTTATTGATAAAACCCACCGTTATTTGGCGATTATAAAGCGATTATAAACGGTCCCGTTAATAAACGATTAAAAACGATTATAATCGCTTTTTCCATAAAATATTTTTGCAAAAGCGATTATTAGCGCTTTAAAAGCGACAATAAATCGCGAATTAAAATTATTAGTGATAAAAAAACGCTTTTATTTTAGGGTTGTCGATTATTATCGCTCCGTAAGCGCTTTTCAAAAAAACGCTTATAAACCGTTTTTTGGACCGTTTTTAAAACGCTTTTAATCGACTATAAGCGATTATATTCACTAGGGAAAGTTCCAAATTAAAAAGCGCCTACTAATCGTTAAAAAAACGCTTTTTTATTTTAAGTTAATAAGCGGTTTAAATCGATTATAAAACGATTATAAGCGACAATAAGCGATTTTTTGAAATCTGCTAAAAAGCGATATTTTCACTATGATCAGCGCTTATAACCGCTTTTCTTGAAATTTTCCTACTGAAAAGCGTTTATTAGCGCTTATTTATTTGCTGTCCATAAGCGATTATAAACGATTATAAGCGCTTTTTTACGTATTTGAAACGAGGAAAAAATTGTCAGGTACGAGGTATTATAAGCGATTATAAGTGATTATAAAATATCGTAAATGTTATTGTCTTCAATTGACGCTTATAAGCGATTATAAACGATGAAAAGCGCTTTTTGACGCATTTTAAAACTATGATCAAAATATGTTTTGATTTGATTTATTTGGGGTATATAAGCGATTATGTAAGCGGGGTATATAAGCGATTATAAACGATTATGAGCACTTAATTTTTTACGTATTTGGAACGAGGACACAATTAACAACAAAATTACGCGATATTATAATAATAGTCTGGAGTTATTAATGGACATTTATGGAAATGAACCTGCAAATTTTCAGATACTCACGAAACTTTGCACAGACCTTCCAAAAGGTATGAATAAACGATTTTCGGTTGGAGACATTTTTTTTACCATGGGGAAAACCCAGGAGGGCCACGCCCATATTGATCCAATAATGTAACTGACCCTTTTCTTCTGAAAGTCGTAGAGACTTAAAAATAGGCTTAAACGAAGCCGCATATGCATGTTTATATAGAAGTTATTGATCAACACATGGCCTAAAATCCTTACTTTTCGAGAAATTCGCCAAAAACCATTTTGGGCGTGGCGCTGAGCCCATTTTACTAACTTTTGATATGATCGTGATAGAGTCTTCGGATAGAGTGCAAAAGAACCGCAATTGGCATATTTATATATGACTTATGAAAAAGCAAAGGGTCGGTTACGTTATTGGGTCAATATGTGCGTGGCCCTCCTGGGTTTTCCCCATGGTAAAAAATGTCTCCAACCGAAAATCGTTTATTCATACCTTTGGGAAGGTCTGTGCAAAGTTTCGTGAGTATCTGAAAATTTGCAGGTTCATTTCCATAAATGACTGGACTATAAGCGATTATAAGGTATTATAAATGACATAGCTCGGCGCGCTCATACTAAATCGCTCGCCCAAATTTTAAGAAAATTCTTGTGAAAAGGCCCTTTGGGTATGAAATTGATCTGAATCGATGTATTTTTGGACGTTAATTCCGAATCACCCCCCATGACGTAGGGTAAAAATGCTTCCCTGGAGAGTTATAAGCAAAAAAACCGTTTTGGTCACGTGACAGGCTAGTAAAACATGAATTCTAGGGAAGCTTGAGATTTTTTGCACATCTGCCAATATTTTCGCAGCAAATTGGAAATAAAAGATATATCTTTTGCCGTCATGACGGTAATTTGCGTTTTGATTTTTAATAATTTGCGTTTTGATAAATTACAACCGCTTCTTAATCTTGAGTTAATTACATTTGTTTCACTATATGTTATATGAAAATATATGGTTACACTGTACACATTGACATAATATTTAGCGATCTATCTTAATCCTTGTTGCCAGAGAACTGAAAGTTTGCAA